GAGCTTTCTACCCTACACCCATGCCACTCCATTTATAATCCACATCTCAGCCTGGTTTTCACTCCCTTTGTCCTCCTCAAACACTGTTCTACACTAATCGCTTTTCCCAGACTCTTCACCTGCTTCTGTGAGCTTATGGCTTCCTTATGGCTGACACAGGAAAATCATAGCTAGGAGTGACCTCTGACATCTGAGACCATGTAGCACAGTATATTTCCTAACCTTCTAGATGTTGCCAGGCCTTTCTGTCTTTGTGCCTGGGAGTTTCTTAGCTTAGGAGGAAATTAACAGTCAGGTGTGCTTTAGCACAAAAAGGAATATTTATAGGCTACTCTTGGTTTTCAAAGACCTCAACCCATCTACAAGATTAGACTGGGCTGTATGAATGAGAGGGGAAGAGAACAGAGGCAGGGCTTAAGAAGCTGACAGAGAAACAAGTCAGGATTTCTGGGGACCAGGAAGAGAAAGGTCTCAGGTTCTGCAAGGTGAGTGGAAACCTAAGCTAAACTGTGGCAAGGCCTTGGAAGGGGACAGGTGTGTGGGTGTCCTAGAGGCCTGGGCACTGATGGCTGTAACCCTGTTAGCCTTGGAGCAGGTCCTGGTGGCCAAGTCCAACAAGGAACATGGAGAAGCTCCAGTGCAGCCAGCTACTTGAATGGCCCCATTGGCCTCGGGCAGAGCAGTGGGAGCAACAGACACGAGCTAAGAAACAAGCGTGAGGATCCAGGGCCAGGGGTGAGGATTAGCCCTATTTTCAAAGTTCTCATAAGCACCATGGTTTTCGTAAGATCAAAAGATGAGGAAGGAGCCAATCCAAACTGACTGATACTGGACTTCTCCTTAACCTTGGTAAGATGGCACAGCAGTCAGATTTCGTTTTATTTAAAAAGTAAAACATAGCAAAACAAAACACCAGCTACATTTATTAGTTCCTAGAGGTTATAAAGCAATTAGTATCCATTAATTATACAAAATTCTCTGTGTATGTGTTATTAGAGGCATTTTCCTAGAGAGGATTGAGGTTTTCATGGGATTCTCACAGGGGCATCTGACTCCCCAGTGAAGACTCACTCATCCAACACAACCTCCTTAATTTAGAGATGAAGAGGCTAAGGCCAGAGAAATAAGTAGCCTGAACAAAGTCACACAGCTGGTTGCTGCCCCGATAGACACCACTCCTTCTTCTTCCACTAAAACAATAAACAAGAGACCAAACCAAGCACACAGGTTGGTTTTGACATACATTCTGTTAATAGGTAGTTCCTCAAGATACCACATTTGCTTATCAACTTTCAAAGAACCAGAACATAGTTAATCCTAAAACAAACAAAACCAGGTATGTTTTCTTCATTATCCATGTCCTTACTATGTTTCTATGTACCAGGACTTGTTTGAAGCACTCATTTAATCTTCACAACCCTAACTTAGGTACTATTTTTATCCAAACTTTACAGACGAGAAAACTAGAATACATAGAGGTTAAATAATCTACCAAGGTCACGTAACTTTTAAGTGTCAGAATCAGGATTTGAGCCAAGAACTAAAGTGTTTTATTTCCTGAACTTATATTACTTTTTTGGGGGGAGGTGGTGTTTTAAAAACTGATGATTAATTTACATAGTGTAATACATAGATAATAAGTGAACAATAAGGTTTGCCCTTCCACTAAGGCAACCACTGTTCTTATTGCTATTACCACAGACTAAGCCTCTCTGTTCTAGAACCTCACATAAATGGAATTAAATTGTATGTACATTTTTGTGTCTGGCTTCCTTTTTGCTCAATATAATGTTTTTGAGATTCATGCATGTGCTACTGTATATCAGTTATTCATTCCTTTCTATTACTTAGCATTCCATTGAATTATTTAACATAATTTGTTTATCCTTTCCATTTTGGGGCTATCATGAATAAAATTAACATTTATATTGTTTTACAAGTCCTTTTGTAGATACATGTTTTCACTTTTGTTGTTATAAATTTATGCTTAATTTTATAATAAACCGCTAAACAAATTTCCAAAGTGGTTATACCATTTTATACTCTCCCCAACAATGAATCAGGGTTCTAGTTATTTCACATCCTTGCTGGGTTTTGGTGGCATCAGTCTTTTTAATTTAACTTTAACTATTCTATAGGGTGTGTAGTGGTGGCATGTTGAGGTTTTAATTTTCATTTCCCTAATTTCTCTGATGACTAGTTACATTGAGCAGTTTTTCAAGGGCTTACTGGATACTTGTATCTCTTTCTCTTTGTAAAGTGTCTGTTCAAGTGTTTAACCCATTTTTATAGGATTGGCTTTTTATTATTGACTTAGAGTGCTACAATATTTGATACACATCCTTTGTCAGATACTTATAGAGAAAGCAAATATTTTCTCCCAGTCTGAGGCCTGACTATTCATTTTCAAGTTCATTGATCTTTTCTTCTGCAGTATCCCATCTGTTGCTAACCCCCTCCAAACAAATTCTTTTCTTTTTTTTTCTTTTTTTTTTTTCTTAACATATAGTTTTCAGATCTAGAATTTCCATTTGGCCCTTCTTGCTTGTCTAGTAGTATTTGTTTGGATAATGGATGCTGAGTTGTTAAAGAGTATAGATTTTGTTGTCTTCCTCAAAGGAATGTTGAGTTTGTTCCAGTAGGCAGTTTATTTACCAAAGGATCAATTTTATCCTTTCGAGGTTTCTGGGCTTTGTTATGGCAGTGCCAGAGCTGCCCTCACTCTAGGGCCAGAGTAGCTCTTATCCTGAGGTGTGGTCTTGCTAGGGTCAATGGAATACCTAAGTTGTTCAGCATGGTCTCCCCACTCTGGCTGGCTGGAACTCTGGTATCTCCCAGTACTAGGCTCCTTCTGGAATCTCCATTGATCTCACAGCCTTCCAACAGCTATCCTCAGCCAGGGCACGCAGAGTGTTGCCCTGCACAAATGCAGCTTAGTATTCAGGCAAGGACTCAAGGAAACCCCTTGTAGATTTCTGGAGACTCTTCTCTGTGAAGTTCCCTCCTCTCCAGTACCCTGCCCCAAAACCGCAGCTGGCTCGGGAGGTGAAATGCTGATTTGTTTCCTCCACCCAGACTGCTGCTCTTGGACTCCATTTTCTTTCGCAGTTTGGAAAGCATTCCAGGGAGAAAACTGAAGTGCGTGTGAAGTTCATCTTTTGGTTTCTCTCCCCACAACGATCATAGTCCTATATGTCTGTGTCCAACCCAAAAAACAGTTGTTTCCCATACTTTTCCCACTTTTATAAGTTCTTTAAGGTAGAAGGGTAATTCCGATACCCATTATTCTGACCGGAACACCAAAGGTTTGAGTCTTCATCACTTGTACCGTTCCTTTGTTCCTTCAGATGGCCTGTGTGGTTCTTTTTGATCTGGTCTTTGTCTAGCTCACCAGTTTTAGCACGAGACTTGTGCTACCCGCATAATTACACCCCCTCATGCATATATGCATATTCAGATGCTTGTGCTCTCCTCACCTCTGGGGCTTCCTTCATGCTGTATCCTTTTCCTGTACCACCTGCATCACTCCTTCCATCTCTTGGCTCCTATTTGTCTTTCTCAATCAGCTTAAATAGCATTTCCTCTGGTAAATCTATCATGTGCTCCCATAGCAGGCTGTACTTTCCCCAATCAAAGACATTGTAAAACTTTACGGTAATTTCTTATTTTATATGAATTGTATTTTTCTGCTTGATTCTAAGTTCTATCTGGGCAAGTGTGGGGATTTTTCCTGTTTGATTAACATAAACATTAGTCACTTGCTATTGTACTTGAAAATGTCAATGAAAGATTTAGGCTAGTAAAAATACTGGATAAACTTGCTCTTATGATACCCAGAGAGAATTTACTTGAAGTTACACTCTATGATTAGTGACCCATCAACATAGACCTTGCTCTGGGTGTCTTCAATCGCCCTCTATCTATATGGCCTTCAAGGCAGATCTTCTCATTTCTGACTTTCACCTCCCTCCCCTCACTATTCCCTGTTGCCTTTACCAGCTAAACTGTATGTATTTTTGCTATGAGGTAATTATTAAAGCCATTATAAATCTCATATCTCAAAGAACATATCTTGATACATTCTCATAAGACATACCCTCTAAAAAAACATAAGCAAACCTATAAATCCTAAACCTTTTACAGGTGTTTTTGTGACCAGGGCAAGAACTATACACGGAAAAATTACATTCTTATAACTTGCCTATGAGCTCAGGAGGAAATTATAGGTACAATTCTGACCCTTGTAGGCTGAGAAGAGAGTTCAAACTAAACACACAGTGGCTGGTGCCCCAAAATGCAGAGTGTAGGACTGGGAAAACATAAGCTAAAGGCACAAGTGACCAGTAGATGGGATCGTGAGGTTGTTATGTTATTGTTTTAAAATGACAGATAAACTGATGTCTCAACAGTAATCAGTCTGAATGGGAGTACAAAACACCTAAGTGCAAATGTGTACTACAGGTAATGAATGC